TTGTGTTCTTACTTGCCGTGGTCCCTCGTTCCGAGTATAAGTGATCAGCGTTTTTGTTTTTCTGGCACAACCATTGCGACGACCGAACACAGCACTATGTTTCTAAGATATTTACAGTTAATAAAAAGTATCAAGACAGAATAAATAAGTTGTATCACGTAAGTTTTGTTGTTATTGCTTTTTATAAAATCATCAATGGAATCAAATGTATGAATTAAAACTAATAATAAATATGTTTAATCAATCTCTAAAAGTTTATGATTGTAGGTTTAAATTACATAACCATTTAATATGACCAGTCTCAAATTTTCTCTTAAAATTCAATGTCTAATCTTAATGTTTATTGTTAACCCAGATATGTATTGAATTAATATAATCACACTGTATAGTTAACACTTTTTAAAGCAAATTAATTTCAATAGCCTATATTAATTTTATCATTAATATTAATTGTACACAAGCTGAATTAAAATGATGATGAACTGAACAAATATATTTCCTCAATAAATTCTTAAATTTACAAATGTTTGAATCGGCAATCATTGCCAAATTCAAAAACCTTTATGATTAACTGAGTACTCTTGCTCTTACATCTTTAGAGAATCAAAGTTTGTGTACAGCTAAACTAGTGAATATAGTGTATCTATTTCATGTTTCTGGACCAAATCATAAAAGTATATTAACTTCTCGGTATTCCAAATCATTAAAAAATCATGAAATAATACTGATATTCTTTTTTGGTTAAACTTGATAAAGGATCAGATGTTGTTGTTATGAATAAGTCGGATTACAAAAATTAAATGGAATCCATTATTAGTGACGAAAGCAAATTTATAGCCGATATTGACTCTGATGGGTTATGTAAATTAGAAAGGAAAGTTGATTCGAATCTAAGGAAATTACTTGAAAAGAATGCTGTTAAAAAAGATGAATAAAATTTATTAAACTCTATGGGTTCAATGTATTCTGATCAATAGGGACCACTAAAAGTTCATAAGCTCAATATCACCATATGAGCAATTCTATCAATTTTGCAAAATGTTTCACAAAGTGTTAAACCATATGTGAAACCAGTTTCACAAATATTCTTTGAAAGACCCATTTGAATCAGTTAACTATTTAATGGATATTAATATAAAAACTATGACATTGTGTTGCTTTTATGTAAACACTTTGTTTATGCATGTGCCTCTAAGGAAAAGCATAGATATTTTATGATACTAAATCTCACTAAATAACTTTCCATCGACATTTCATGTGAAAACTCTCTAATATTTATTATTATGTACTGACAATATGAAATTCACTTTTGAGAGAGAGCATTTTCAAAAGACTGATTGCGTGGCAGTGGATAGTCCTTTAAGACAATTGCTGTCTAATATGTTTATTTCATATGTGGAAAATCTCGCTGAATACTCAACTCAAAAGATGTGTTTGTATAAGCAGCACGTGAGTTGTAAAATAATACAGTCGGAAGCAGGAACATATTTTTAATGGGAAAAATTACAAGGCATTTACATAATATATATACATAGCCTTCAATTATCCACTTAAAACTTTTAATGTGTTCTGCAATCTGAACTCTTTTCTTACCTGGTCTTCACGTGTTCTGCCAACGCCGTGTTTCGCTCCGTTCGACAAATTGGAGGCCATATTCTACAGCATACTATTTACAAGCAATGTTGCGAGCGGCGTCCACTTCAGGACGACATCATAGTCATCGGTGATAAACATGGATACATGGGTTGCTTGCTAAGGGAACTCAACACAACTCAAAAGCATATTCCTCTTAAACGAGAAGAAGGAATGAATAACCAGCTCCCTTTTCCAGGCATAGTGACCAGCAAAACAGACGATGATTCCATCAAACGTTTCCTATATAGAAAGTCGACAGGGACAGGGTAACATCTTAGTTTCCAGCACAAATGGGGACTTATAAAGGGCTTATTCTATAGGATTATTGGTATTTGTACTAGCAATATTATTTAGGGAGACGCGAAGCTCTTAACTGAAAATTGATGGGTAAAAATTATTCATTGAACTTTATGAACCACTGGGAAGGTAGCAGTTTGAATAGACCTACGATATTTTTGGGACCCAAAAACGGGATCTTATTTTCTTACCACTTCGAGTTGACTCAAATAGTCTCATGTTGAAATGGAGACTTAAATTAGCTATCAATAGGATATTTTATGCCGGCTAACTCACCATTATTGAAAAGTCAAGATCTATGTATCACAAAAAACCCAAACAGCAATTAAGTGGTTGTATTGAATCCCATTGCGTCTATCAATATGCATGTATGTGCTGAAACACGTATGTGTGGAGGAGCAATCGCGAGTTGAATGTAAGGGTGGATGAACACATAACTAAACGGCCGCAAAAACAAATGAAGTCGAATGGTCCATTAAGGTCACAAGATAGACGAACATTCCCCTCCATCGCAAAACATTTGTTTGGGACAGGTAATATTGTTGATGTCAAGTCAGCCATTGCAGATTTGTACAAACATTTTTAAAGGAGTATACTAAGGTTTATTGAAACCTTGACTATACGAAAACCGAAACCCCGTTTATGTGTTCAAAAACAATTTGTTCTTACACTCAACGTACTTTGATAACACTAATTTATTATCCAGCATAATTTTCACATTTTTTACTTTGTTATTATTACTATTATTTTCGTTTCCCCCTACCTTTTAACTTGTCTAGTTCAACTTTTATTTTTCAGATATAATTTTTCGACAAGTATTTGTGCGACCAGACTGTTTGAAATGCATTGCACACATATATCATGTAATTCTGACTCATTGCGTTATCTAAACTCATCACTTTCTACACTTATAAATCTGAATTAATGTTACAAAGGAGACAGTTAAGCTTACACAAAATAAGATTTTTATAATTACAGCACATGAATTTAGGATTGTTAGTGGAATGAAATAAAAATTAACTATTGAAATGGCTAGTGTGTAGTGTCATCTTGCTCCACTGTTGCAGTTGAATCGATAGTTACAAAAAATGGTCGGAAGATAAGGCAGTTCATCCTTCAATCTTGCTGTCACTACAACATTAGTTGTAGTTTTCTTGTATTAAACGTTCTTCTCATTGCACTAAATAAATTCAGAATTAACATGTCACTCAGTGAATTACTTTAACTGGTAAATACATTAAAACAGTTTTGTTTACCAATTAAAATTCCTATCCTTTTATTTTCTTGACTAGGCATTTGTTTATAAACATTTTGGGTATCATTTTTTCTTTAACATATTATATAGACCACTCACTTCTTCTACGACCGTATTCGAAAAGCATATGATAATTATTCTGCAATGAAGAGTTTTCAAGGAACTTCGTTTTTATTGTCCAGTCGCAAAATTAATAAAGTTTGTGCATTTTCTCGTTCATATACCTTTCACACTCAAGTTCCTTCTTTACCATCCGTGATCAATCACCCCACCCTACTGTATCCCTTCGTAATCGTCAACCAAGCATTTGATCTGATTTGTAATTATATAATTTCTCTCATTCAATGTATATCTTTATTTATTCTGATTATTAGTCTCATAATTTCATATGATCTATGAATTGATTCAAGTTGACATAACACAATAGCTACTTAAATACTAACAGTTTTATTTCATTTTATCAGTCATTTTAAATTCGTTTGCTGTAATTATAAAGGATTTTTTGTTGTTGTTGTAAACATGATTATCTTCGTTGTAACATTAACTTGAACCTGATGAGAATTTACTGTTTAGTGTATCTTTGTTTTATTTAAATTGGGAATTTTTCAAATGTTATGGTAGTGGAGAAGATTTGTAGCCCATGTGGATGATTTCGGTGGAGTTTTGTTCTCTGAGCTCATAGAACAAAATTCCATCAAATTTTATGGTATGATCATCATACTGTTATAAGATTAAAATATTGATTTGAAAATATATATTAATTAAGTTTTTGTATTTCGATTAAATTAAAGATTAGTATAAGTTTGTTAGGAATCTTAACAAACTAATATATAAATGTGTTATATCTGGTAAGGGACTATTTTTTATGAGTCAAGTTGACAAAACTTTACAAATGTATATATAATATGAATACCACAATACTACTGATAAGTATAATTTAATTTTATGTTATGATTAAGAATTGTTTATCAGTTAGATCCCGTTTTGGATATGTAAAATTATTGAAATATTTAAAGAGTTATTCCATATACTGATTGAAGACTGTCAGTCAAGCTCTGAGAATTTCACTGAAACATGAAAAAAACACAACTAAATTATTATCAGAAGGGGTTTTCGTGAATATTATAGTAATTTTAATAGTTGAAATCATGAGTAAATTGAAGATAGATCACCATGGAAAGTCTGGAAGCATTGGACAGTTGTTTCGTCCTATTGTGAAACTCCTTGACAGTGTGCATCCACGATCCCACCCCACGAGTTTTGAACCCAGTATTGATTATCATTAGTGGTCGATCAGATAAAAGATTTCTGTATATATAAAGCATCGAATAATTCATTGAAGTCTCAGCTAATAATGATATTCACAAAAGATAAACAATCATTCACTTAACAAGTTGTATATGTATATATATAATAAAATACTAATTATAAATTCTAATGTTTTAGCCGATTCTATTGTTAAATCATAAATGTGACTTTAATCATATGCATCTAGACTGAATATATTTCATATAAGTTTAACTTGAAAATACTAAGCTTCTTTGTTGATAAAATCTAATGAATTAATTTTAATAATTCTTTTAACCTACCATGTATACGGAATCATTGAACCATTCAGTGTATTATTCGATTATTATTATTATTAAAAACAAAAAGAAAGATTGAATAAATTATTACGAATGTGATTTGTTAACATAATTCTACCAACCAGAATGTTGATAAATGTTCATTTACTAAGCAAATAAAGATGCATAAACCTATACACACATAGTAAGGAGACCGGTTGAATTATGAAATATTCAGTTGGAGTGTTGTATTTTTGACTAGTTGTAGTGATTTAATGAAATATGAGCAGTTTATATAATTTTTTATTTATTTATTTTACTTACACACACACATACACATACTACTACATACACCGTAGATACACATAGAAACTGACCTATTGATCTAGAAGACAGGAACGGCACACTAGTGAATTAATTCACTTGGTTTATTGTTAAGTTAGTCAACCTTCACGTTTATTTGTTCTGTTTTTATGATTGTGTGTCATTTGTTTGCATAATCACCTGTTTGAATATATCCATATATATGTATGACCTTCACAGTTTTTCTCTATGTCAGTTTCATACCAAAAAAGAGATTACATTGCTTTGCCTTATGATTGACTGTCTGTTGTTGTATAAGTAAGCATGAGCTTGTGTTTTAGTGTTTGTGTGCATATTTTTGTTGACATTAATGTAGTCTAGGGTGTTAGATGTATCAGGTTTCATTAAAACAGCGGCTGGTATCTAATCGTCATATACCGAATCCACATTTAATCAGAGTGTTTACGAATAAATGAAGCAAATTAAATTGTATTGAAGGTAGGTTCGTAATTGATTTTTCTTTTGTTTGAGCTTAATTAAATTATTTTAAATACATGTATCTTTTAATAAATAAAGTTTATATTATAAAATTTAAATTCTAAATCATGCTGATAGCAAAGAATAATGAGGGATTAATCCTTGTAATGCATCGTCAATGAGATTGATTTCAGCATGTATGAATTTGTGACTACGTAAAACGAAGCTAGGTGTTCATAATTCTTGAGGTCGTAGTGTTCCCGTCAAACTATATAGATTGTATTAGTAAACTCATTCGGAATTTCAGAGATGTAAATAATATTTTTTCATTTAATTACTTAAAGAAGAAAGAGGTTGATTATGAATACAATGGTCTTGAGTGCTGTTAGAGGTATGAGGGTGATTATCACTTCCCGGTTGCCCACACCGTGGAAATTATCACTCAGAATAATCGATAACACTATCTGAATAAGTATGATAACAAACTTAGTGACTAGATTCTTAAGTAAAAAATGAACCAGTAATTACAAAACACTAATCCACTATTATTAATCTGAAATTCGTGTATACTTTGTAATAGTATAAATGCTATTCTAAAAACCTAACATAACTCAGTACTCTGAATATCACAGAAATTTAGTCTAACCCGTTAGAAGGGTATTTTTGCTGTGTTTATATTTATGATAAAAAAGTCCACTGTTGATAGCCATTTTTGTAAGAATAGTTTTCCGGCTTCAAGTCTGTCGATGGTAAATGGTTGTAGACAATAAGTTTATATTCCGTTTACTGTTTAGTTAATAGGACGTTTCGTTATATTCTGGCATTACTAGGATTGTTTGTAACAGTTTCTAACCTATATATCGTATTTTCTCAATCTCTCAATGGGATTAAAGTTCCTTCAGCTCTTATTTACTTACTTAAGTACTTTTTTATCCTTCGTGGCGAATATGTCACTTACTAAAATTCTCCGACTCACTATGTCCTAGGCTTCACATATATTGTTTAGGAATGTAGCGACTTGGGCCTGAAAAACATACCATTAAACTTCAAGTTGAATTATTGACAGTTTTGAAATATAAGATATTGACGAATAACTTAAAAACAACTGATATCCAGTGATCTACCATAAACTATCTTAGTTCAAACAGTTAAGTGGTGTTTAATTTTTATTCATTTCCTAAAATGTACTCATACATTACAACTATTAAAGCTAGAACGTCCAAATTAAGTCATCGCAACAACCAATCGATCTATTTTTATATTTTTGTTTATAAACCATAGCTTGATCATCTTGAAATATTACTGATGAATAATGTATGTTACATTATCGTTGAATTTCATGCTTTTGGGTGTCGTATTTAATAGTTGTATGATATATCAGACATTTTATACGGTCTAAATTGCTGTTATATACTGCTTAAATATTAAAGGAAATATTATTTTTGTTTATGAAAGTTAGTTTTCGTAAAAAAGATGACTATAGTGATGTAAAATAAATAATCTTAATATCAGAAGGGGGTTTAGTGGTTGCTATAGTAATTTCAGTAGTTGAGATCATGAGCCAATTGAAGCTAGATCACCGTGGAAAACCTGGAAGCACAGGACGGCCGTTTTGTCGTAGTATGAGACTCCTCATCAGTACACATCCACGATCCTGCCTAGTGAAACCGATAGGTCCTGGTTTCGATTCTCACTTGGTGGGATCATGGATGCGTGCTATTAATGAGTCTCATACTACGACAAAACGGCCATCTAGTGCTTCCAGGTTTTCCATGGTGATCTAACTTCAATTAACTCATGATCCCAACTATTAAAACAAATATTCTTAAATATTTATTGGTATATAAACAATAAATTGACATGATCACAAATAATTAGTTAAACATTCTTTGAAAAAAAATCAAAGAATTTACCTAATATGTTAGTTCCGTAGATTCCTTAACCAAATAAATCAAATTGACACAATTTTGAAATAGATTTGTTAACAATATAAATTGATCAGTTATATTTAAGTATGAAATATGCGTTTGATCACTTGTTTAATGATAATATATAAAGAGTAAAGAATTTTATTGATTTATTACCAATATTCGTCATATACATACTTTTATGTTAGATATTTTGTTTTAATCACCGACTAGATTTCAGTTTCCTTTATTCATTGTTTCTTCTTTTTGTATTTATAAAATATCGATTTAACAAATTTGTTTGTTTGTTTGTACATAGTGTAATTTGTTCTAGTTTTATTTTATTGATTATTACGAAAGACCGATTCAATGAATTATTATATTAACTCAGGTTGCCATACCATCAAAAACAGCCGATAATAAACTATCAATTTAAATTCATTTGGTATTTATTTTGCTTGAATCTTCTCATTAGGGTTTAAGACTGCAATCGATCAGTCAGTTATCGGCATATGTGCATATTGTGCGTATGTCTCGATATTACCTTAATTCACAAGCTTTTTGTAAGCAATGATGGATCGTGGCTAGCAATGGAACCCAGGATGCACGTTTCGTCCTATTTGAGACTCGTTAGCCGGGTGTGCCTGCATCTCGGAATTGATGTTCATTCTGGGACTCGAACCCAGTACCATTCACTTCAAATGCCATCGCGTTATCCACTCAGCTACCGCGTCCTGATAGCCACTTGTTTATGCAATGGGGTGAATTTAAATTCACTTGGTATTGGTTTGCTTAAATCTTCCCATGAGATTCAGGTACATCCAGCTGACGAGTCTCAAATAGGACGAAACGCGCATCCTGAATTCCACTGCTAACCACTATCCATCTTATCAATTTAAATGTTTTATTTTTATTAGATAAAATGTTTAAAACTCTGGTTGGAAATTATATACATGAAGTCTAGTTTCAAACTTGTTAACTGATTACTTTTTAATTAAATCATACTGTAAATTAAAAGGAATTAGCATTGTGATTAATTTTTAAAAATCTTCATTTGTAATTGATAGTTATTTTTAGGTAAAGATTGTTACCAGAGAAATAAATTGTTCAATCGGTAAAGTTATATTTTTCTACACCAAATATTGAAATATACTGTTGCTATGCCAGTAGTTCAATGTATTTGAATACAATTAACCAACAGATTTCAATTCTTTTGGATCTTTACGATTATAACTAAGCTTTAGAAATATGGGTTATGTTGAAATTCTAGGAATTATGTAACAAAAGGCTTAGTACGAGAAACAAATAATTAACCACATCTTGTTCTCAATTGATATGCAATTGATATTAGTTAATAACAAAATTTATTTTGCATTTTTAACGAAAATGTTCCATGCCATGAAGATCATTGCATAATACATTATTTATGTACTTAATTAAATCCTATTTCCTACTTAATTGATCATGCAGTTAGATGGTAATAAAAGCTTTTGTATATTTCCATAATATAAAGTGATTATTCATTTTTATAGAATTATAAATATATTCCTGTTAGTGAACTGGAAGATTAGTACTAAATGTCAAAATTATGGCAATTTACAAGTAAATAAGAAGCAAGTCGTCTGATGAATGTCAGTCAACCAGATGGCTTTTGATTGAAGTGACTTGAATTTATACGAGAAAGCATCACTTTAATTTTTCAAGTAGACTAGTTGAAACAAGGCGCAAAAGTTGTAGTCTTTCAACATTATCAACATCATGATCACTCACTCACTCGCTGACCTTATAAAGCTGGGTGTGTTTAACATCTTTCTCCTTTTTGCGTTAAATAGATATTATTAAAATGGGGGTTTGTGGAGATTGTAGTGACTTTAAATACTTGAGTTCATGAGTCAACGTAAGCTAGACAACCATCGAAAACTTGGAAGCAATAGGCGATACCACATACATGATCTTGGATGAGCACAGTTGAAGAGTTCCATACTAGGATGAATAGGCCATCCAGTACTTCCACGTTTTCAATGGTCGTCTACCTTACGCTGACTCGTAAATTCAACTATTAAATGGATATCATTAATTCACTGAAATAAAATAGCATATATTTATATACATGTCACTTGTTTAAATCAGTTTGTAAACATTTTCATCATCACAAACCTAAATTACCTGTAAAAAACACTAATTATAACATGAGTTTAAATGATATCCAGCATTGTTCATAATGTTATATATGACTATTAAACTGTTATATCAGTTATTCAAAGTCAACAATACCAAGTTGACCGAGGTCTATTTTACAAACAAATAATTTTGATGTAAATCAATTTAGTGGATACGATGTAGTTTTTATGTTTGTTCTTTTTTCTCCTTTAAATTTATATTATTAAAATTAATAATTAATTGTGTTGATCAACTAACAAATGAATTAGTATATGGAGGTGATAAATTTAAACTGTATATCTAGTTTGAGAGCAATATGTAGATAGAGTATTCTGTAACGATTAAAAATGCAATGGAATCGAAATTGTTTTTATTATGTTGCTTATAATGTTCGTGATTTAGGGCAGTATCAAGGCAATCCATACAGGATGCTTTTATTAGATTGATTGCAGTCGTAAACATTAAATGGAAAGATTCAAACAACCTTCAATGAGTTTAAATAAAATCTTATCAGAGGATTCATAGAAATCTACGATGAAATATTTCGATATCTTTTACTTTCAGTGGACCATCAGATTATTTGATGTAAACATAATCAAAACATAATTTTATCTATATGACTTGATAGACTGTGTTAACATTTTGTACGTGCAAATTCTTTTCATCATATATAAGTATCATAATACAACGTTGTAGTGCAGAGGAAAGGATTAAATGATCAAATACTCAACTGTGACAGTAGGAATGATTATCTTACACTAAACAATTACTAAAGGAAATAATCATAAGAAATCATATAAACGTTCACTTTTATTCTTTTGTTTGATCTGTTGCATAAATGTTAACTGATCATTTAAAGAAAAAAAACAGATTCGACAGATTCCTATTACTGGTGAGAAACACTGTTTTAGAACTAAATAATAAGAATGTTTATGTTAAAAAAGTAGTAAAATT